TTTTATTATCAATACCCTGGATAGATTAAATCCAATGTATCAATTCTCGTTGGATTTCTATATTGAATTGTTTAAAAATTCAATTAAAAAGAGCAATGCAGCAGAACAGCTCAACGAAAGGATTGACAATTTAAACGAATATCACACATATGCAGTTTATGAAAACGTCTGTCAAGGATTATTTGAACGCCATAAGTTACTTTTTTTGTTTCAAATATGTACTAAAATATTGATCACAGAAAATAAAATAAATAAAGATGAGTTTGAATTCTTATTAAACGGTGGAATTAAATCAAATGAAAGACAAATAAAACAAATTATTACCACAGAGTGTCCGGGTATATATATTATATTTTATAATATGAATGATCATTGTGTAAAAATAATATTAACTTTTTTTTTAGACTGGTTACCTGCAACATGTTGGGATAACATTTTGGCGTTGTGTAACTTACCTAACTTTTATGGCGTAGAAATGTCATTTGAAAAATGCTCAACTGAATGGCATAAGTGGTACTTGTCCCCGAATCCAGAAAATTTAGAACTCGTTGGTAAGCTTTAAAACTTTAAAACAATTTAACATTTATAAACACTCATCGAACTTGCTCATGATTACTTTGAATTGTTAGATCCCTGGGAAAATAAATGCAATTTATTTCAACGTATGCTATTTATAAGAATCTTGCGATTAGATCGATTATCATTTTCTATCAAGAATTTTCTATCAAAAAATCTTGGACGTCAATTTTTTGAGACTTCAGTCATGGATTTAAAACATACTTTAAATAATCTTAACAATACAAATTGTTTGATTTTTATTTTGTCATCTGGTTCTGATCCAACAACCATGTTAACACGCTTGAATAGAAATTACAATAAAAAAGGAAAATTACAATCTCTATCTCTAGGAAATGGTCAAGAATCAACTGCCACAAAGTAATTCTCATTATTTTTAATTTATAATTATTATTATCATGTTGAATTACATATTTTACACTATTTAAATAGCTTAATAAAATTCGGACAAAAAGAAGGTCATTGGATATTTCTTGCGAATTGTCACCTCTTATTATCATGGATGCCACAGTTAGATAAAATAATTGAAAATATGCAAGACGGTAAATCCCATCCGGACTTTAAGTTATGGTTAAGTTCTAATCCACATCCGAAATTTCCAATACAATTACTACAAACTGCTATAAAAGTATCGACTGAAAAACCTAAGGTCAATTTTGTTTTTATATAATAATTTAAATATCTAAATAAACATACCTAAATAAATAAAATGTAAAACTACGTTCTAATCTAAAGCATAATATCAATTTATTCATATTTTTATTATATTTTTAGAACATAAAATCTAGTTTGTTGCATTTATATCACAATGTTAATGAAGATCAGTATTTTCAAAACCATGCATCGAGCAAACACAAAAAAATACTATTCAACTTGTGTTTTTATCATTCTATACTAACCGTTAGAAAAAAATTTTTAAACCTAGGATGGAATAAAATATATGATTTTAGTGATTTCGATTTCAAGGTAAAATATTTTAAAAATAATTCATTACATATTTAAATTATACAAATAAGTATAGCACCTATATTTTAATCAAATTAAAATATTTATTATTCTTAAATAATTTATTTATACTTTTTTCTAAAGTATACAAAGTAAATAAATTATCTTTAACGACATTATTGTATTGCGCTCAAAAATAATCAATACATCACTACGATTTATAATTACAGGTATCAGAAAACATTTTATTCAATTATCTCAACGAGTACGAAGAAACGCCCTGGACTGCTTTAAAATATTTACTAGGAAATATTATTTATGGTGGAAACATAACTGATATTTGGGACAAAAGATTATTGGACACGTACACAAACCAATTTTTCAACGAAAATTCTATAACAACTCATTTTTACAAGTATAATATCATATCAATACCTATAATTGCGTATTAATCTTTTTAATAATATAATTAACACTAATTAATAACCAATTCGTATTTATTTTTTAAAGGTTATCATCACTGATCGATTATATCGTCCCAGAAAATGGTACTTTACAATCCTACAAAGACTTCATAAAAACATTACCTTGTGAAGATGTAACTGAGATGTTTGGTCAATATTCGAACAGCGAAATTATTTATTTAACAAAAGATAACTTTTTATTATGTGAAACACTAACATTTTTACAAGAGCAATGTAATGGCTCATCAGACGATAACGATAAAGAAAAAAAAGTGCTATTTCAAGTATCTCAAATCCTTCAAAATATTCCTTCATCGATTAATCATGAAATTATTGCTGAAAACATAAATATAAAAAGAAATATACCGAATACTATAATTTTTCAAGAGGTATTTTTTTACTAAATATCAATTTTAACCCAATTAAATGTTTAATCATAATATTAAATAAAACTATTAAGTAAAAAATATATAAATAATATCAACACAATATTACTGTAATTGCTAAAATTATTAAATGAGACTATTTTTAATGAAATAATAATTTTATTACATAATAGTTGATAATTAAAATTACAATAAAAAAAATATTATAATATTTTAAAGAATACATACAAAATTAGTTAAATATAAATTCATGATAAATAGAAAACCGGCACCTATACATGAATTTAAAAACAAGAGTTAAATTTTGTGAAAGGCTATATCAAATTTAAACTGCATAAATGTTTTTCTAAATCTCTGATCATTCTTATTTATTTAGGTATTGATTTATTACCATAAATATAATACAACAATGTATTGTCGTTCCTTCCTTCTTTTAATTTTAATGAAAGTTATTTTTTAGGTATCATACAATTTGCGTTAAATAACCGATTGAAATTTTAAAATGTATTTGAATTTTAGGTAATGTGTTATAACAATTTACTTAAGAATATGGAAATAACATTGATAACATTAGAAAAAGGAATCACAAGCCTAATGATTATACCACCAGATATCGAAAACATGTTTGAAAAAATATATGAAGGAAAAGTACCAGATCAGTGGCTAAAAAGTAATATTATTAATATCTATGTTATACACATATATTTTTCAATATTTAATATTAGCGCAAATTAAATAAGTTATTTAAGTCATTAACTTTATTTAAACTATGAACTCTACCACTATACGTATAACAATTGCTCAAAATTGCCTATTCTATTGCTAGAATACTAGATATATAATTTAAGTTATCTATTTTAACTTTTAAGAATAATATCAATAATTAGTGTATAATTTTCAGCATATCCATCTTTAATGAATTTGGGTGCATGGATGCAAAATTTAATTGAACGTGTTAAATATTTTACAACTTTGATAAACACAAATCAACAACCTGTATCAATTTGGTTGGGAGCTTTCACTTCTCCTACTAGTTTCTTAACTTGTATACTCCTGGTACAACATTGTTATTATATTTATTTTTATATTATTTCAAGTAATTTATTTTAATTTATTTAACCTCACAGAATGAATCAAAACAATCTTCAACACAAATAGATTTACTTAGCTGGGAATTTATACCTATTCAAACATCAGTGAATGAATTAATAAAACCACCAGATGTATATTTATCATCATTTTTTGATTTTAATTGCAATTTACAATTTATGTATACTAATATTTTATTATTTTTATTTAGAAAGGAGTATATATACATAACCTATATTTGGAAGGTGCTGGTTGGAATAACGAACATATGTGCTTACGTGAACCCTTGCCACTAGAATTAATAACTAAGCTACCCGTCATACATTTTTTGCCCGTAGAAGGCAAAAAAAGTCTCATAGGTTTTAAAATTTTAAACATATTTTTAAAACTAATATTAAGAGTTAATATGGCAGTTATATAACTTTTTAATTTTAGATTTTTACCAAAGTCCAGTATATTATTGTCCAAAACGAAGTGGAATTCACGAAACTTATTCGTGTGCGATTGCATTAAACTTAAAAAGTGGATCACAGCATCCAGATCATTGGATTAAACGATCTACAGCAGTATTATTAAATTTAGGAAATTAAATTATTAAATAATATTAAAGCTTTAAACTGCATGCATTATATAGACTAATAGTAATAGTTTATACACATTCATTAAAACAATGTTATCACATTTTATATACATACCTAAACTACAAATCTGTATTTAATTTTTAATTGAAATAAGTGCGAATAAATATTTTAGTTAATGTTAAAATCATTAGATATATTTAATTTGAGCATATCATACAAATGTATATGTAAGTTTCTTAGTACCCACTTTAAAAAGTAGTAGGAAAAACAAAAAAAATTAAGGCAAAGCGGAAACTTTTACGCAAATTAATATTTCATTTTTTTTTTTTTTCTATAATTTAAAAGTTAAAAACTATATGAAGACTTGGACTTTTCACCAAATATACATATTTTAATTTTCAAGATATCTTAGTTCTTTTGGTGCTTTGCAAAGATAATTGAAATTTTTAATATTATTAAAATGTTTTCTTTTAATATCGGAGATTCTAAAATGTTATATTAGGTTCACGAATATTTTTTATAAATATAGGTAGGTACCTAACTGAAGTTTAAATTTTGATGAAATTGAAGATTCGCGCATAAAATAACAGTTTTTTATTCAGCGATTTGAGTACTTTTAATATGGTTCATATTACAATATGTAATTTATGTTATTATTATTATATAAAAATATTGTTTGGTAAAATGTTATATATATTGATATTAAAAATGTAGTAACTGTTATTTTGATAGTAACAGTAACAGATTTTAACAATAAACAGTTATCAAAAATGATAACAGGTAACCATCACTAGCGTAGACTAGTAACTGACCCCATCCCTTCCACGATAAATATTATGTCGTCATCAACATAAGCACACCGTATCATAGTATTATCACAATTTATTTAATATTTATTATTTAATATATTAATATAAAAATTATAAAATGGCATGTATCATGTTGTATACCTAATGTATATTAAAACTCACAAATTTTGACAATCTTAAATTCTTAAACATCATTAATTAATAATTTAAAATTTTAATCAATAGTGAATTCTTATCTCATTGATTCTTGTTAAGAAGTAAACAATTACAAATTTACAAATCAAAACAAGTCGTAAAACAACATTAAATTAATTTGAATGGTGTTAAATTTTTAAAAAATTGTGTGTGTTATTCTTGAAATGGCTACTGAAGATGCATTCGATCAGGTAATAGGCAATATTTGTCAATAAATATGTAAACAATGAAAATGACATATCTCCAAAAAATTTAATTACACAAGTAAATCACATTTAAATTAAAATTTCAACTATAAAATCCAATTTTTTGTAAGTATGTTCTTAATATTTTGTTTTCAAATAATCAATGGTTCTTCAACTACCGCTCAATTTTTATATTTTATACAAATAAAAGTTTTACAAGTATAGAAAAACAATTGTTGAAGACTAAATTATACAAAACTTAGGTGTAAAATAATATGTGACTACCAAAAAATTAAAGATCATAGTTGAGGAATTTTTTGAGGAATTTCAACATCATCCTACTTAAAATAAAAAAAATCATAAAAACTACTCATATTTTATTTGAGTAGCTAAGTGACTCGATTTCTTAAACTTATTTTTTAGGTGCTATAATTCCTTCTAGCTGAGCTTTTAACTGTTGGTTAGATCTTTTCAAAAAATTGATTTCTTCATTGTGTCTTTGTTGTTCAGCAATTCGTTGTTCAGTTCCTTGTCTTTGAGCCATTTCATATTTTGCAATTGCTGTTGCTAAGTCATCCTTGATTTTTTGTTTTTCAACTTCCAATTCAGTTAATCGATCTTGCATGTCAAGCTTATTATGCTCTGCAGACAATGATTTCCTTATACCAAAAGCAATACTACTCTCATATAATGACCGGTAAGCATCCATTGTCATTTTAAGTTCATCGCGGACTTTTAGTAACAAAAGTCCTCGTTCTGCACAGTTAATAGTGACCTGAAAATTAATTAGGTATATCATGAAGGTTACAACAAAAATTGTTTTATATTAGTTATTAATCAATGTTATTTCAACCTGGCGAATTATTTCATCAAAACACTGAGAATAGAGAGCTCTCCGAATTGGACAAATACCCGTTTCTCGTGCCTGTAAATGTTGCAAACTCATATCTAACATTTCTGTCAATTTTATTACATCCATTCTAGTAGCTGGTTGGTTTGAAACTTTTTGTCTCCACTGTTTTCCATTTTCTTCCCATTCTCTTGGTGGCAAAATACAATTTAGAATTTCATCGCATTCTTTAATTTTTTCATTTGATATTAAACCATCTTTTTCATTGAGTTGCTGTTAATTATAAAATAACTAATTTTATTTATGGCCCATTACATTTAAATAATAACAAACCTTATTTGTCAATTTTTCTTCACGTTCTATGACTGCTACTGGATTACTGTAACGAACTAAATTCATTTCCAAAGGTACTATTTTTTCTCCCATCGTTAAAGATTTAATTACAAAATAATCATAAAAAAATTAATATAACTTTAAAAAATGTTATAAAAAGACAACATTTAAAAAAAACCTATACATATATATGTTATATCAGTTGTCATGGTAAAGTTATTGATTAACATTATAATATAAGCTTCAATAAATATCTTATTATAAGTTTCAATATTTATCTATGAATTATTAAATTTAATAAGTATACGTAATAATATTTTTAAATAGTTCCTGTAACAAATGACGATAAAAAAATGTTTTCACTCATTTTACTGTAAATTGTTAAACTGATGATTTTTTTGAAAATGTTTATGTATTTAAATCAAAATTAGAATAAATAGTTTCTTAGTAATTTAAATTTATGTAAAAAATATAATCTTTGATAACGGTTATAATTTATAAATAATATGTGTAATAGTGTAATACTTAGTCTATTACCAATTATACTCAGACAATGTTTATAAATTAATAAAACTTTAAAAATACCATAACCCATTTATTTTCCAACTCTATTATCATCTTTATTAATCAGTTTAAAAACTTGAAAACTGCTTATTGAAATTTAGATACTTTAAATGTTTAAAAAATAAATAACAAATCTAAGTAATCGAAAATATAGATTTTATTTATATTTAAAAATTTTAATAAATGTATAACTGAAGAAAAAATGAAGGTAACCCTGCTTTGTTAATCACTCTGTATATTTATTATTTTTATGTATGATCAACCATTTAAAATACTATGATTTTTTAGTTTGACGAAGAAGAACAACAAGTAGAAAGTCAATCATTTACAAAAGCTGGTCGAAAGCGACTTTTTTCAAAGGAATTGCGTTGTATGATGTATGGTTTTGGTGATGATGAAAATCCATATACTGAAAGTGTTGACATACTTGAAGATCTAGTGATTGAGTTTATCACAGAAATGGTAATATAATAATTAATAAGTTATTATTATACATAGTTATTAATTATTGTTAATAAGTAACTATGTATATTTTACTGCCATAAACTGATAAATTATATTTTTATTATTTTTAACATTCATTTTAGACTCATAATGCTATGGAAATAGGACGATCTGGACGAGTTCAAGTAGAAGATATTGTATTTTTAGTGAGAAAAGATGCAAAAAAGTATGCTAGAGTCAAAGAATTATTAATGATGAATGAAGAATTGAAAAAAGCACGTAAAGCATTTGACGAAGGAAAATTTGCTGGTAAAAATAAAATAATTTCAATCAAAAATATTGAATCTTGATATTTTTACATTAAAAAATTATATAATTTTACATTTTTTTTTTAATAAATTTATAATTAGATAATTTTAATAATTTTATGCATTATTCATAAACTGTATATTATAAAGTTATGCCAATTAATTATTATTTTATTGTTACAGGTAATGAAGTCCCAAACAACAGTAATACTAGTATCAATAAATAATGAATGAGACTTTGTTCGATTTATATTTATTCGTATTACTTAATATGTACTTTTACATTAAGTAACATTGAATGCTTTACTTTTTAAATAACTTTTAAGCATTATAACATTGTATATCTTTATTTTTTTTTTTTTTTAAATATATTTTTTAGGTAAAATATTATGCTTAAATACTACAAAAAATTGAGTTTTATTTAAAACCTGCCATTATAATACAACTTGTTTCTTTATAACAATTCTTTACTTATTGAAATTCATCAATTAAAGTAACAACCTGTATAAAAAAAATCAGTCAACACTTAAGCCCATCAAATAACTTGATTTTTAAATTGTTTCACATTAATACAATTTTATGGTTACATTGTTTAAAACTAGTTATTTTTGTTAATAATTTAATATTGTTAAACCTTTGAGCTTTTAAAATAATAGGCACCCACATTTTTCTTTTCTTAAATCTAAAGTATTGACTGAAATGATTTAAAAGGTCTCGCACTCTCACATCATCAATTGGTTAATAAGGTAACTGTGAATTAAACTTTGAAACTCATATTGTGTATGATTATTGATTAAATATGAAGATTTTTTGTTTTAAAAATCATTATCATGTTTTAATTGTTTTATAATAATTTGTATACACTTTATGATATGAAATAAGGTATAAAAAATTGAATTGAAAATTATTCCTTTTAGTTTCAGTTAACTACTGTTATCACTTATCACTTAACTCTATATAAAATAGAATTACATATAATATAATTGGGTTTCCTCTATATAAAATAGAATTACTTATAATATAATTGGGTAATATACTAACGTATAAAAGTATTTATGCTAAACTATATCAAACAATATATCATATTTTATTTAAGCTAAACGTTAAAATACCTTTATTTTAGTTTTTGGAAAAATGTGGATTATTTTTTATTTCTTTATATCACATATTCACATGTCAATGATTTATTTTAGATTTTTTTTAATAGACACCAAACCTTTATAATATATTATCTTACAAATGTACTTTATAACAAATTGTATATTAGGTATATACAATAATCCAGTTTGCTCTTTAAAAACGTGATTTTTTTTAAATGCACAGTTTTAAAATTCTTTTAACTCGCTTTGATAATATTAGAGTGCGTAGGTATTCATAAAATCTAGATTAATACGTCCTAAGATTTCTTAGGCTAAAAATATACATAAAATAATATTTGACGCTCATTAAATTAGTAAAAAATATTAAGTAACTTGGTGCCTTTTAAGTTTTAAATGAATAAATGACATGAACATTGTTCGTTATTTCGTTAATAATTTTAAAGTTTGTCCAGAAAATAGAAATATTAATTTATTAATGTATTATTGACAATAACTATAATTTTACCTATACAATAACTATTGTATACGTCCATTAAATTTACTTACTTGTCAGCACTGGTGTGCTTACATTTTAATCATTCTAAAACTGTTTTATATTAATGTATATATTATCTACCATATACGTGTCTGTTATCAAAATTTAAAAAATAAATTTACAAGCAATGTCCATTCCACTGTCCGGTAACAGACGGTACTACGCTAGGTGTGACTCTACCGTCTACATATTTTCAACAATCTACTCTCCAACGATTTTTATCACGGAAACTGATTGATTTCACAATATCTTATGAAGAAATTGTAAACATATAACGTGTTGATCTTAATTTCGAAAACAGTTTATACCTAGTACTTCGTACTTACATATGGTACACAATGGAAAATTTATACCATCAGACGAATAGATTGATATTAGAAACCCAAGAATTATTCCACAGATTGGAGAATTCGAAATCCGAACTGGTCGAAGCAGATGTACAATCAAGAATATTAACCATTTCACAGTAATGAATATATTATTTTTATTTAATATAATTGTTTTTACTCTAAAAAATATTTACTAATTAAACATTTCGTTTAGAAACTGTGAACACTTAGACATTCTTGTGCACAAAGAACCAGTTTCCAGGCGTAACAATGCCAAATTACGTGTAGATCAACTCAAATATGATTACCAGCACTTGCAGGTAAATGCCATTTTGTATTAAATAATTATTAATTGCTATCAAATTTAAAATGTATAAATTTATATTAGTCAGCATTAAGAACACATCAACAAAATCAGCTAAGAAGATTGAGAGCTGAGCAGGAACGTGAAGAACTGTTAAATCGGCGATTTACTAGAAACTCAGACATGAATGATACAACAATATTAATCGATAGTTCTATACAACATCAAAATTCATTACAGGTACCTTTATATCATGATTAAATTTAAACATTTTTATTAACTATATTATTTTATTCAGGGTGCAAATCGAGGGGTTGATGATTTATTAGGATCTGGTGTCAGTATACTACAAAGTTTACGTGAACAACGTGATCGATTAACAAGTACTCGAAATCGTTTAACTGGAATTTTTGGTTCGCTTAGGCTTTCAAATACAACTATGAAATACATTGAAAAAAGATTAAAGGAAGATAGGTATATATTATATGGAGGAATGGCCATCACAATTCTCATTATAATTATAGTAATGATATATTTTAGTTGATAACCATTGATCAAGTTAAGTTACTACTTTGGTGAGTTATACCATGGATTATAATACTGTAATCTTCCTTATAATGTATATTATGTTTATATAATATATATTTTACAATTAATTGTTACTATTTACAAAATTGTTTTTTAACTCTTTTATTTATTTATGAATAAAAACATTTATTGTATGTTTATTAACTGTTAATATTAATATATTTATTAAATAATTCCATACAATTGTCAAACAAATTATTTTCAAAAAATACTCATGTTAGAAATAAACTTGTAACATTTTTTTATAAAAATTTTGGAATGTATTGATTTTACATTGATTTATATTTTTGTGTATGTGTGTGTATTGTGTTTTAAATGAAAAACTACTTTGATCTACAATTATAAAACTAATTTTTGGTTAAAAATTGAATCTAGTTAGAGATCAAAAGTGAAAATTCTTAAGTACATTTCCAATGATCGAACAAAAACAAACATTTTAAGACAAAACAAATTTTAACAAAATCCATCTTGGTTTTTTGCTATAATTCAAAACAAACATTTATAGGATTTAATTTTTTGCCAAACATTCATACAATCTTATTCTGGAATAATTTTTAAAATATTCTGACTGAACAATGTAAACATTTGAAATTGTCAATTTAAAAAAATAAATAATGTTTGCTTTGCCAAAAAAACTCAAATATTTAATAGAAAGTTTCTCATAAATTGTTAATATTGAAATTAAAAAAAAAAAAATTGAGCATTAATTTAAAATATTATTTATTAATTGGTATTTGAAGTTAATAGCTTGAACTAACATTTTGAGGAAAATTGGAGTATAAAATACATACAATTTTTAATGTTCATACTTATGGTTTGACAATTTCATACAAGATTCCATAATAATTTTGTTAATAAATATTAAAAAGAAAAAAGTTACATGCAATTTCATAAATATTTTTGATAAAATAATGATTTTTCACTAAAAAATTATAATTTTTTAATGTATTTTATTCAATTATAATAACTTATATTGCAACTTTAATCATTCCATTGATACTTAAATAATAATTTTCTTTTCTCTATTTTTAGACTATTTTAAACTAATTATAGGCATTTATTTTAATGCTGGAGCAAAACTCTGAATAATTTAATTCAAAGTCTCACCTATTTATTCTTTTAGCTTCTTAAAAATACATTATTTTTTTGATGAGCATTTGAAGTTAAAATTTTCAAATTATAAGTATCATCGTTCTTAGAAAAATATCAAATGATGAACATTATTGTCAATAACCACAACCTTTAGGCTATAGTAACTAAATAACTATTTATAGTGAATAATCAAAAGACTATTGTAGTGTAGCTTTAGTAGTATATATATATTTTATATAGTCGCCTTATAATTCTATGTCTTTACATGTTTTAAGTTTGTAACAATATCGCAATGATGTACTTAGGATTTTAGTACTGTGGGTCTACCTCTATAAGACAAGTTGAAATTAATTTTTAAGTAAAAGTTAAAACTTGTTACAAACTTAAGATATTATTAATTTGTATTTGTATTTGTTGCATTAAAATGTATATTTAATAAACAAATTTACTTGGAATATTCAAATCATTTTAAGAAGAAATGATGCATATTTATTATTTTATTTTTATATACGTATAGTTGCAGTATATTTAATCAATTTTTGTTTTCAATAACTGCTTGCATTTTTACAATAGATTTAGGTTCTAAATTCTAATCCATTATAAAAATAATATGAACATAAAGTTTATATTTTTATCATAATGTATAAAAGTAAGTATAATAAGTACCTAAGTAAAAATAAAGAACATAATAATAATTTCTGCTTTTTGTCATTAGCGCAAACATATTATAATGTTATTAAAATCAATTTTTTGTGCTGTGTTGCTTTCTATGCTCAAAATTGCCAAAATTGATAACCGATCTTCAGTCACAGTTCATCAAATGCATGTTTTGAACCATTTTGGGAAAGTTGAAACTTCTTTTTGCGTTTACGCTACTAACTAGAAGTGTATAAAATATTTTATATGAAGTATTTACATTTAGATACGAAGAAACTATGAATTTTATACTTCATTTAATTTTAAAGGTTCAATTGAACAATATCGGCAAATATTTTATAAAAACTATAAGAATCCGTACAGGCCCGACTCAAGTGTTTAAACGCAACACTTCTAAGCAAACTTGGGTTTTGCCACCCTTTGTATGTAAAATTTTTAAAAATTACAGTAGAAGCCGCTTATTAGAAACACTTTGAGACCAAGGTGAAATATAATAACAATTAATTGATTGATTTGATTTTACTATGAAAAAAAAAATGAAAAATATACAATGTATTATTAAACATGTATATATTGTATGTATAATTTAAAAAAAATGTACATACATATTTTACTATATTAAGTATTTAAAATCGATGTTTATTTTTCTGCATCGAATAAAACTCCACGACCATATTATTTTCGTACGAGTAACGCTGAATTGCTGCTCAAAGCCTTTTTCATCTGTACGGTGCTGGACTGCTATCTTGAGGACACTAAAAAGGCCCTTACACACTAGGCGAATAGTTCGCACACGGATGCGATTTTAAATCTTCGCCCAAAATTAAGCATTTGCGATCGATCGCGGACGATTGCGGATTTTATTCGCTCGCTTTACGTAGAGTGAATGGTTCAATTTATTACAAGCTATTTAATTTTAAGCGAACGTTCGAGGCGATTTAAAATCGCGTCCGCGCGTACTACAAACGATACGTACAGGAAAGAACATTCTTATAAAGAATATAAAGGTACTTACTACTTACGAATTTACTATAAAGGACAATAAAAATAAACGTAACGACGACAGCAAAGATGATAATATTAAAATACATTGGTTATTGCCCGATAACCGGTCTATATATCAACTGACCTTTGCGGCTTTGCCTAATTGTTTTAAATAACCGATGTGATGTTTCAAAAATTCGATTTATTTTTAACGTTTTAAAATACAGCCGATTCGTCTCGGGACATTTTGTTTAATTTGCTTCAATAACGCGATTATATCAACTATCTGTGCTCCTATTAAACTGCGGATTTTACTGTATCTATAATACAAAAATGTCAGATATCGCCTCTGAAAAATAACGCCCTAGACGTGGGCCTATGTCGCCTACCCTTTGAGCCGCACAGCTGTACGTACTGTACGCAGCGCGTTATACACTTATTTTTCGATTTAGATAATATTATATTATTTAAGTTGATACGCGCCAGCCGTACAATTTCGTACACGCTCAGGTTATATAATATTTAAACATCATAAATCATAATGTACTTATAAATTTATAATTAAGTATATTTTTATGGAATCATTCTTGGGCCTGTGTACATTTTATGAATTATTATTATTTAATATTACCTATTTAATTATTGGTTATTGTAGTAGATGTTGTACATATTTTTTCAAATAAAAAATATGTGGGTAATGTAGCTTTCATTTTGAGGGACCACATTTTACTGGGCAAAAGTTTATCGGTCAACTGACCTCCTAAACACCTCTCTCACGGGACCGCCCTCGCAATATCGGTTGTAATCTACTCAGTACTCACGTCTACAAAATATGACAAACATTCATAACAACAAACATGCTCGTTTAGTCGTATCGGTTTAAGGTAATAAAAGTAAAAACTATTCTTTATTAAGAATTTATTGTAATAAGAAATATTTATTTCCAAATAATGATGTCATTTCAATCGCATGATAAAATCAAGTGAGAATTGTTCAATATTGCATATTATTATTTTTACTGAAATTACATAATAATTTCGAAAAGTTCAAGTTCTAAATGTTCTAATCCTTTGTTATAATTTATATAATGTGTTTATTATTGTATTTATAGATTATACATTTAAATTGAAAATAATAAATACAAAATGCAGATGACCAAAATAAAAATAGATAGTATTACGGTATTTTCAATAAAATATATATATACATATTTCAGTGATGACGACTGAATAACTGAGATAAGTACTCTATATAATATTATTATATAAGGTAGGATACCTTATATCATTAATTTTATTGTACCTACATATTTCATAAAAGATAATTCTCAAAACATCCAGTAAGTGAATTTCACACGTATACTTAAAAATTCAATACATGATTTCTCGTGAGTTTTTCTAACATCGATTACTAAAAAATTGAAAGAACAAAATCACATTTTTCAGATCCTATATACGAGAACAACAGCAATTGTTTAGATTAACTATGCGCGGCAAAACATACGCCACACAAATTTCTTCTTCCGGGACCACGACCACGGTCACGTCAAGATTGATCGAGTCCGTTAAAACCGTCAAAACGCGAGACTTGCTGATTTTAACTTTAGACGTCATCACAAGTAATATTCGGTATTAAAGCATTAAGTCTCGTTAACGGACGAGAAAAAACTACTTGGCACTCTTGTTACATCGAAATTGCTTCGACTATTTGGCTCGGTTAAAACTATCAAAGCTGGCGGAACTTTGATCTTTATTCTTAGCTCCAGACGTTATTACTTCAATATTCGACAAAGAATAAAAATCTTGTTAATGATCCAACGTATGATATTTATAATTTTTTTTTATTGTTTATTCGATGTAGGTATACAATCCGTTTCTTTAGAAAAAATAAGAATTATGATGATAGATAGTTATTTTACGTGATTAGTTTGATTAGATGAGTCACCCAGTGGTAACACTACTAACACTATCCTTAGTTGTAGTTTTATGTTTTTATTATTACTATTATTATTTTTTTCAGAGCATTATATGAATAATTTATTGATAATACGTTATTATTTTATAATATATATATGTATGAAGACATGAAGTACGTTATAATTTTTTTAAGACAATAATTTATTTACAGTAACAATGCTGAAATAATTGTAAAACAGATTCAAATATTTTAATATAAGCTCAAAAGCTGACAATGTTTATAGTAAAAATATTTTTGTTTTTGTTTTAAGAATAAATTTTAATTAAAATTAAAAAAAAAAAAAAAATCACCGAATAATAATGAAAATCTGATAAATTGTATAATCT